CTATTCTGCACACTTGGCCTCCATCGGCAACTCCTATAGGACTTTTAGTCGCTCCTACAAACATGTGCTCATGAGTCCCTTTGTTAGTTCATGTCATCTTCTCCACAGCCTTCTCATAGATGAGGACCCCAGGGTTGGAAGGTGGAGGGTCTTGCCCAAGGATGTGAGGCCAGAAAGTGGCGGTGATGCAGATACACATCTCTGCCCCTCTTACCATCTCCATTCTCATCCACCAGGAGGAAGATCCTGTCTACGACCTCCTCGGGCGTGAGCAGTTGGCCTTGCTCAGTTTGTAGCTCTCGCCGGCAGGCTTTCTTCAGCTGGTAAATTCCCTGCCAAAGAAAACTCAGTTGCATTGATGGGAGACCCTGCAAGCTCACCCTCACCCCCGTGACCCATATCCCTCAGCGCCACTTCCCCAGTGCTGGCTTCCCAGGCTGTGCGTCTTAGGATCACGTAATCTGGATCCAGATCAAAACTGACCTGTCCTAAGGCGGTGCTCTCAGAATCCCACTGGCCTAATTCCAGCTGAGTTCCCGGCCTCACACCCCACCTGACCCCAACACCATTTGCATTTCCACTGTGAGCCGCAAAGCCCAAATCCAAAACCTCTAATGAGGGAGGTTTAAGTCACCGTGAGTCTAAATCGCATTCTACACAGGAAGAAATAGAGATGCAGAGAAGAAAATTCAGTGTATCTATATATGTGTGTGTCTGTACATGTGTAAAACAGAAAGATGGGGATACACATGTTCCCTCCTCATGGACGGGAGGGAAAAACCCAGGTTTCTCCTTTTCCCTGTTTCCTCTCCTGGTGAAACTATGTTTGTGAAAGCATCATGTAGGCCAGGCGCTGTGGCTCACGCCTGTAACCCCAGCACTTTGAGAGGCCAAGGCAGGCCATCATTTGAGGTCAGGAGTTCAAGACCAGCCTGGCCAACATGGTGAAATCCTGTCTCTACTAAAAATACAAAAACTAGCCGGGCACAGTGGTGGGCGCCTGTAATCCCAGCTACTCAGGAGGCTGAGGCAGGAGAATTGCTTGAACCCAGGAGGTAGAGGTTGCAGTAAGCTGAGATTGTGCCACTGAACTCCAGCCTGGGCAACAAAATGAGACTCTGTCTCAAAAAAAAAAAAAAAAAAAAGAAAGCACTATGTAAATGCGGAAGAGATGGACACATATGACGGTTTTCCTTAGCTCCCAGGCTGGCGCTCCCTGAGGACAGAAGCTGTGTCTTATGCACCTCTATGGCCTCACTGCCCAGCCCAGTGCCCAGCACAAAGTAGGCCTCATCGACGTGTCTTGGGAGACTGAGGGGTTAAATCCAGCTCCAGCACTTTCTAGGTAGACTAATTTGGGCAGATTACAGAATCTCTATGAAGCAACTTCTTGCTCTGTGAAATATGGCTAACGATGATCTGGCTAACGCAGGGAACACGCCAGAGTCTGAAATACACCAGGCACTTCTTTTCTTCCTTAATCATTCTTGCTAATAGAGAGTGATTGTTAGTCTTTTGAAAGAAATAACTTCTGATCTTGACTTTTTCTCATGCATTTGTGTTTTCTGTTTTATTAATTTCTGCTGTTTATTTTCTTTCTTCTACTATTTTTGGATTTAATTTTATTTATTGATTTGTTTATTTTGAGATGGAGTCTCGCTCTGTCGCCCAGGCTGGAGTGCAGTGGCGTCATCTCGGCTCACTGCAAGCTCCACCTCCCAGGTTCAAGCGATTCTCCTGCCTCAGCCTTCGCAGTAGCTGGGACTACAAGCACCTGCCACCACGCCCGGCTAGTTTTTTGTACTTTTAGTAGACACTGGGTTTCACCATGTTAGCCAGAATGGTCTCGATCTCATGACCTTGTGATCTTCCCGCCTCGGCCTCCCAGGGTGCTGGTATTACAGGTGTGAGCCACCACTGCTCCCGGACAAGGGTTTATTTTACCTTTTCTTTTTAGACAGGTTTTCACTCTGTTGCTCAGGCTGGAGTGCAGTGGCACAATCACAGCTCATTGTAGCCTCGACCTCCCAGGCTCAGGCAATCCTCCCACCTCAGCCTTTGGAGTAGCTGGGACCAGGTGCATACCACCATGCCCAGTTAATTTTTTTTTGTATTTTTTGTAGAGATGGGGTCTTACTATGTTGCCCAGGCTGATCTTGAACTCCTGGGCTCAAGTGATCCACTCACCTCAGCCTCCTAAAGTGCTGGGATTACATGTGTGAGTCCCTCCACCTGGCCTTAATTTACTCTTCATTTTTTCTAATTTCCTGAGATGGCCTCTTAGATCATTGATTTTCTAATATATAAAGTCTTATTTTCTAATATAGTATGCATTTTCTAATTGTTTCCTAATATATATTTTCTTTTTTTTTTTGAGACAGGGTCTTACTTTGTTGCCCCAGCTGGAACGCAGTGGCATGATCATAGCTTACTGCAGCCTCCAACTCCTGGCTCAAGCAATCCTCCCAGCTCAGTCTCCTAAGTAGCTAGGACTACAGGCATGTACCTCCAAGCCTGGATAATTTTTAAACTTTTTGTAGAGATGGGGTCTCACTTTGTTTTCCAGGTTGGTCTTGAACTCCCGTGCTCAAGCAATCCTCCCACCTCAGCCTCCCAAAGTACTGAGATTACAGGAATGAGCCACTGCATCCAGCCTCTATTTCCTAATGTATGCATTTTAAGTCTTATTTTCTAATATGTACATTTTAAATCTATAAATTTTTCTGCAGGTTCAGCTTTAGCTGCATTCCACAAGTTGTAGTATATCATGCTTGCGTTATTTTTGAATTTAAGACACGTGTGTGTGTGTGTGTGTGTATGTGTGTGTGTGTGAGAGACAGAGAGAGAGAGAGAGAAAGGGAAAGTATTTCTTTGATCCACGGAGTATGTGGAAGTCTACTGCCTAATTTCCAAACAGATGGGGATTTTCTAATAATCTTTTTGTGATTGATTTCTAGCTTAATTCCACTGGAAAGTACACACTCAGAACGAGAACACAGGAAACACACTCAGAATGATTTCAAGGCCTCTTCTTCAGTCCCCGCTGGCCACTTGCAGCCAACCCTCAGAGCTCCAGCAGTGCTCAAGTGCCCAGGCTGCTGGCCCATGGGCAGAGACACTAACCTCCACAATGTTGAGTAGCTCCAGGCGGTCGATGCAGCCATTGCCGTCCTTATCATAAATCTTGAAGGTCCACTTCAGCTTGTGCTCCAG